AGTCAGAAAAGAGCTGCTCAGACAGGAACTTAGTTTGAACTCTTACTAAAGATAAAGAGGAGCGCACTTCAAAGCTTGGTCACGTGTCTCTCTGAACCTCTGGCTCGCGCCGCGCTTTTGCTCTGCGCTATATCCACAATAATTAACTATCCCTAAATTCCAACCCGTAAAAAAGCGTGGGATAGATTTAGCTGAGAGCATACATGTCCCTTGATCATTAAATGTAATGAATGCACTACAGCGGCCTTGCCTCTGGGCATTCTGGAGATTATGGAGGTATTCCAGCCTTGGAGTCAAGACGGAAATAGAAAGATAGCTGCCTTGTACATAACAAGTCTTCTTAAATATTCTGCTTATACGGTACAGATTGTATTGAATAGGGCGAGTTCATCTAGTAGTCATAGTAAAGGGCTGCTAGAGGGAGATACAAGGCCACCCATAATCCTTAGCATGAAAAGCTCTAGAGCAGGGGTGTTCAGTCCTGGTCCTGGAGATCTACCACCCTGCAGAGATTAGCTCCAACCCTAAACTAACACACCTGATACACCACTCCAATACACCTAACCATAGTAATGAAGGCCTTCTTGGGCATCTCAATGTTACACACTTACATAAAGATGGTGCTTCAAGGGTTCTTTAGTAAAGAAAATGGTTCTATATAGAACCATGGACACTCAAAGAACCCTTGCATGATTAAAGGGTTCTTTGCATCATGAAACGGTTCTTCAAACTGGTGGAGAATGTGCTGTAGATGGCTCTATATAGAACCTTGTTGAAAATGGTTCTATATAGCACCAAAAAGGGTTCTTCTATTGTCATAGACTGTAGCACATTCAGGCACATTTTTCATCAATCCAAAGAACCCTCTCAACTTTAATCATGCAGAGGGTCGTTTGAATGTCCATGGTTCGATATAGAACCATTTTCTTTACTAAAGAAACCTTGACGCACCATCTTTTAAAGAAAGTAGAGCCAAGTGTGTTGGATCTCAACTCTCCAGGGTGGCAGTTCTCCAGAACCAGGGTTTGGAACCCCTTCATTAGACGTTGCAGTCCAAACTCAAATTCTTATCTTATCTGTTTAGTCACCATTACAACTTCAGTTAGGACTGAATTTAGGACAGTAGCTATTACAGAACAACAGTTCTTACATTCATAATCTTATCATTAACTCCAGATAAGAAAACAGTATTACAGAAACATCCTAACTGGACTAAATCTCCTCAATTCTGTCCTAACTGTAAGATAAACCCCGGATCTGTCTTAACTTCTGTTTTAATTGTCTGTTTCTATTGTTTTATGCAGTGACACCAGCACAGTTCACTATGACTGGCATAATGACATCACATTTATCTACACTGAAAATGGTGCTTTGACTTTTTGAGTTTTAAAAAAGCGTGGGATAGATTTGAATCTATCCCACGCTTTTTTACAGGTTGGAATTTAGGGATAGTTAATTATTGCGCATTAGGATCTCGTTCTCATGCCTTACTAAGCCGTGGCCATGACTTATTATCTTGTTCCCATGCCTTACTAAGTCTTTGTAACCATATCATGTAACTTTCTGTGATCTTTTAGAGGCATTAAATGCTTCAGACGTCTGGTTCCTATCACCACCACTGTGTACAAGTGAACTATGAATGAAGTTTTTCCAATTCCCATCAAGCCATTCTGAGTTCTCTAAGAAACTGAATCATGCGGATTTTATTTTAAATCAGTAGTATTGCCTATTTAGATAATTAAAGTAGAGAAGATAAAGTAGAGAGAAAAATCAAAGGCAGGCTAACGTCTATTAAATGTGGGAGCATTTTGAGAAATGAAATATTTCAGGCTGTAGTAAACACAGAGAGAGTGAAGGATAGCACCAGCCTCTGCTATCCCCATCCCAGGTGTTCTCCCAACAAATGGAACCGTGCGTCGGTACAGCGGGAATAAATATTGCTACGTATAGGAGGAATGAAATACACTCAGGCCCAGACAGACAGCGCATAAATTCACAGGCGCTTAATATAAACAGGCTGTATCCTGTTTCTGTCTCTCTAACTGTCTGCACTGCTTGAGAGGTTTACTGTCTTCTCAATGCCGTTACTCATCCATTAACCACAGCGCCCGCATCACTCACTTCTATTGCACCCAGAACACGGCGTGAGGCTGGAGGCGGCCGCTGAGTCACATTTAAGGCTGACAGTGCTGCAATAATCAGTGGTGCTCAATCACACCTGAAGCATTATGGGCCAGTTCTACACAGACAGGTTAAGCCTGGGCCTTTTCACAGCTGTCTAAGCTTTGGCTTCATTGCCGGGAGATCATGAGTTTGATCCCCAGCAATGCCACAGCAATCAATGTCTGGGAGTCCCAGATACCATAATTGGCCTTGCTCTGCCTGGGTGGGTAGGATGACCCCGCCTCCGCCCCTCAATCACTCAGGGGTGCATTTACCAAAAGCATAGTTGCTAACTACCTTAGTAGCTTGCATAGTTGGAACCATGCAGTTGTGATGTACATGTTTCCTAAAACCATAGTTGGAACTATCGAGGTAACTACATTGGTAACTTGTATAAACCATTGTTAAGTGACACAGGTGTTTCCCAAAACCACTGTTTGACCGAACGTTCACAAACACTGTTGTATAAGTTGTGTAGTTCGAATGGCAGCTGTAGACTAAGTTAGAAGCTTAGTTCGTGGTGACTGTTATCAGTTCATTAAGTTTGAATCGAGCGAGATAAACACACCGTGACGTTTGTGTATTTTGTTCACAGTCTTGCTCTTAAAATAATAACGTGTCTATCAGTTCTGTTAGTTAGATGATACTGTTGTTATAAAAAGCTGTTATTGATATTACATTATTACTTTATTATTTAGGCTATTCAAATTGTAATCATATACCAACAATAACAATAATATTAATATTAAATTAAAATGCAATTTAAAAATGAAAATAAAAAATAATAATTGAAACAATAGCTGAATAATAATATATATTCACACACCAGGGTTCATGACCCCAGCAGTGATGCTTTCTTTTTATATTATTCATAATAAAATACTGTAAATATTCCTATGTTGTCTCTTCTGATATAAATTTGTAACAGAAACTTGATAACACATTTTTTTCATAGGTCATTGTATTTTATATGTTTGGGTATCTACTCACAGTAACCACAACACAATATATATTGCTGGTTTTAAAAATGTTTTAACAAAACATATTAGTTATGTACACAGTATATTGTTCATATTTTCACATATGGGGCAGCGGATTAGGTCATGTGAGTCATTTTCATTGGTAATTCTATTAAAATTAATGTTGGTATATGATTAAAATGTCAATAGCCTAAATATCAAATTAATAATGAAATATCAGTCACTGTCAACTGTCATATTTTGGTATTACATTACAAAGTTTTTGCAAGTTTCCTGCTGTGAAAATCAGACCAAGCACATCTGGAAACATTGTAGTTCAGACTATTGTAGTACAAACAAGGTACAACAGTTTTGGGAAACCACTGTACTTCAGATGTTTGTATACATTGTACGTTGTATAGTTAACGCACCCCAGAGTGATACTAGCCAACACAGGCCTCTCTTAGCTGATGTAACAGGTCTGTTCACACAGAATCTCACTTATATGGATGAAATAAACGTCGATATGAAAACAAACACAGGCACATTAACGCTGTTTTCCACATCAAGCCTGGAGCTGTCAGACTGCGATGCTGCGTCAAATTTTTTATCCGAACTGGCTTGATTTTCTGCCTTTTATAGATGTGTTAAAAATCAAGCTGACCAATGAGAGCATTAATGTCAGGCTTGCAGTCCAATCAAATGGCAGCCGAACAGCTCATTTGGTTTGTAAACACAAAAGCTTATACATCATGCAACAAGCTGACTATGAAAACGTGGAAGTACAAAAGAAAAATATATGCAAGACCATTGACCACTGGGAAACAATTTGGGGAAAAATTGTGAAAAAGCCAGGAGGTTGGTTTTCTGGATGCAGATTAATCCCAGTCTTCCTTTAAATTACAGTTTTAATTATTTCAGTTTTTTTTAATTTACAGTTTGCTTTTTTGTTTCATCACCCTTTAAAAAAAGTAGTTCTTCCAAAGTTCTTTTGTAAAAGGAATGGTTACTCTGTATGTAGAGCCCTAACAACAAAAGAACATACAGTATATATACAATGTATACAATGCATTATATACAATGTAGTAAAGGTTATATATATATATATATATATATATATATATATATATATATATATATATACACACACATTGAAATAAAGAAACTCTTCTCCTTTCTTTTTTAGAGATAAAGGTTTTCTTTAAACAGTGATGATATTGTTCTTTAAAGAGCCTCTTAAAAGTCATTCTATTTAGCACCAAACAGGGTTCCACTATTGTTACAAGTCATAGAACCTTTTTTGGTAATGTACAGGCTTAGTCTTGAGAATTGTAGGGATTTATCAGTGACAGTGTTTCTATTTCGAAGATGGTCCAATATGCAAATAAAAAATGACAGATACTGTATTAAAAATTGCAAAGAACATACAAAACAGTAGTGACTAAGCTTACATGATGCATTTGATCAGTGAAGTTGTGTAGTGAGTGCGCATAGAAGATGGTGCACGTAGAAGAATTATGGCAAAATCTTTGTGTGGTACATTGCTCACAAAAGCTATGACTCAATGGCTTCTCTGAATGAGTGCCACAATTAATGACCCTGCATAACATTATTCAGATCGCAGTGAGAGAGCGGTCTGAATGCAGATTAAAAGCCTGCTAAGAACACTATCAAGCACTCTGAATGAGAATGGGGCTCAAAGGGAGTTTTGCTAAGGCAGTATAAAGCTGGACAATCACTTTGATTAACCTAAAATAATGTGTATATAAAGTCTAACTGAAGATGTCTTGGTTAAATGTATAAATGTCTCCACACAGGAGATTTTGAGTAGATATGTGTCCTGTTTTTATTTTATTTTCTCTGTCCATCCATTTGCAGATTCACTCTTGCCCAGGAGCTGCACCCTGACTGGATGCTTATGCTCTTCTTCGCTCATACGCATTTAACAGTGACGGTGACACTAGGGCTCTTACTCATTCCAAAGGTAAATCACATGTTCTTCATTCACCTTTATTCAGACAGTTTTTCTGGGTTCTGGTGTTTCATTGGCCAAAGATCTTACCTTGGTTATGGTTTCAATCATAACTCACAGACATTTACATTTTTCCCATAAGTAAGACACTTGACCCTAAGTTATACGCTCAACAGACCCTACCTTGTAGGTCTGCCTTGATTGTGTACAGTTAGGCACTGTGGCTCATCTGTTGATGCACAGTATCCATCCTCTAGCCCTTCATCAAAGCTCAGTTTCTGACAACAGAGCTGCTCTTGGATGGATATAGTGGGGTGGTTGATCAGTCTCAACCTAGCAGTGACATTAACATGTATAAAACCCCCCAGCAATGCATTTGTACCAGCACCACGCATACTATAGTTCAGAGGGTGGGGTACAGGGTGGCTGGCAAAAACAACAGATGGGCTACATTCTGTAATTGTACACCTACAGTACCTTGCAAAAGTCAGAGACCACCCTTCATTTATTTAATTTCCAGTCAAAATGACAATTTAGCACAAATGATTCATTTTCAGCCTCAAGAAAAAAGCAGAACATGTATTTAACAGAAAATTACACTGAACCCTCAACAACTAATTAAAACATCAAATATTTATTGTGTCCAACCTAACCGGAAAGACCCAGAGTGTAGAAGATCCCGACAAAAAGGTCCAACAAAAGAATAAAGAGGCTAACCTTTGCCGTTATTACAGCTTCCATTTTTCAGTAGATTTGCTTTCAGTTTTCAAAGAAATCTCTGGATATTTCACACCTCCAAAGTTCAGTCCTAGAAGTTGGTTGCATGTTGTGCTTCTCACGATCTGAGTAATCCCAAACACAATCAAGGATGTTGGGATCTGGACTCTGTTGAGATCTCGAACATCTATGCTACAGAAGTCCCTCAGTGTTATTGCCAGTGCCAAAGAGAAGAAACTAGGCCTGACTGGTAAGACCCAGAGTGCAGAAGATCCTAACAAGAAGGTCCAACAAAAGAATAAAGAGATTTGCTTCCAGTTTTCAAAGAAATCTCCAAATATTTTTCTCCACACCTCCAAAGTTCAGTCTCAGACGTTGGTTGCATTTTATGCTTCTCGTGATCTTAATAATCCCAAACACATTCAGTGATTTTGAAATCTAGACTCTGTATTGTCCTGAGAATGCCAGCAGCTTCCATGTGGGATTGGCTAATTTCCTTCTCTCAGTTAGGGCTTCTTGACAGCTACACATCGTATCTGATGGGGACAATTTTGATGGTCTACCAGGCCTTGCATGCTTGTTTTCTGACATTTGCACACTACTGTATACAGTGACCAGTAAGTAGAGTAGCCAGTAAGCGGAAGTACGAGGTAAGGGTTGCTAATAAAATGGATGGTAAGTGTAAATGCTAAGAGCTTTTGTCATGTCTGTCCTCCAGTTCCTGTTTGCGGGGACACACCTAAGAGATGACATTGCGACCGAGGCATATGAGGATGAGTTGGACATGGGGCGTTCTGGGTCATATCTGAACAGCAGCATCACCTCTGCGTGGAGTGAGCACAGTCTGGACCCAGAGGACATCCGGGTCAGTATCCCCATTCTTCCCTTTCTGCTCGTTCTCTCTGCCTTTCCCATTTCCTGTAAATGCACATTTTCATGAACTCCTTGTCCTATGATTGACAAAAATACTGAGCCATGGCAGTTTTTTATTGCAGACACCAGACGAAATGGGCCAGCTCAGTTCTATTAATGGCTGTGGCGTAAGGTCTTGCGACAGTCTTTGGGAAAAACGTACCAACGTGAGCAGAGGTTTTTGTTTCTTTGTTAGAGCTGAAGAAGTCTCGAAACACTGTCAGTGGCAAGGCGGCAAGGACAATTTGATAGAGGGTTAGATTGGGGTGGGTCTCTGCTTTGGAGAACAGTCAGTGATGGGTTTACTCTAAATTAATCCAAATTCTTCAGAGGCTGTTTCAGACCTAACAAGAGAACACACAAAATGTCTATATTCGATGCTGTCCCAGACTGTCCTGTTTTTAGTCACTGTCAAAGAGCATGTCATAATGTTCAGTCGTCATTGCGGCACTGTCTGTAGTTGCGTGTAATAATTCATACTGCATGTTTTCTGTGCAATAGAACGTCTGCTTTTCTGTAACTCCATTTTCGACCCTTCTACACTCTTAGATATAAGACATCTGTTGCTGATGAATGTCTTTTTTCTTTCCTTTATTATTATTTCTATCATTACTTACAGGAGGAGTTAAAGAAGCTCTATTCTCAGCTGGAGATCTATAAAAGGAAAAAGATGTTGGCCAACAATCCACACCTTCAGAAGAAACGCAGCTCCAAGAAAGGCCTGGGACGATCCCTCATGAGACGCATCACTGAGATCCCAGAAACCATGGGTCGCCAGCATAGTCGTGAGGACAAAGAGTTGGGTGACCATGGTAGTAACCGCAACAGCATCTGTGCCCTGAGGAAGAATCCTTTTGACCCATCGCATTCAGCAAAGCCTGCCAAGGAAGAGTCCCTAAAGAGCAAAGTCTTCTCCCTGAAGAAGTCTCACAGCAGCTATGACCATGTGCGAGACCCGAGTGAGGACTCCAGCAGCTCAGCAACTGACAAGATGGAAGTGTCCACCACAGAGGCATCTCTTCTTGAAACTCTGATGGGGAAGAAACTGGTAAAGAAAAAGTCATCTGAGAAAATTGATGCCACCAGTGAGTCCACTGAGTCAGTTCCCTTGGTGTGCAAGTCAGCCAGTGCTCATAATTTGACAGCTGACAAGAAACCCCTCCACCCTCGAACATCTATGCTACAGAAGTCCCTCAGCGTTATCGCCAGTGCCAAAGAGAAGACGCTAGGCCTGACCGGAAAGACCCAGAGTGTAGAAGATCCCAACAAGAAGGTCCAACAAAAGAATAAAGAGGCTAAAACCCCTGTAGAGAATGAGGAAAAGGAGGGCTATATGAAGATGATCGTCAGTCAGTCGGTGGAGTATAAGCAGACTGCTGCCAAAGCTGGAATAATGAAGCATCAGGTTAGTGGGAGCCAACCCTCCATCTGCTCTGACCCAAAGGGCAAGGATACTTTCGATCTTTCTGAGGTGTGCCCCTGGGAAGTAGAAGATTTACCCACTCCCTCAGAGAACAAGGTCCAAAAACATGTATCCATTGCTCCAGATGAGACCACAACGATCCATGGGAGCAGCACCAAGGCAACCAAACAACAGCAGCAGAAACAGAAAGGCACTGACCAGTCACCCTCGGTTACCCGACGGCCCAACCAGAAACCTGCAGACAGAGCAGAAATCTGTCCCTGGGAGGAAGGTAACAATGAAAGGCAAGGTCAGACTGAAGGGTCAAAGTCGAATTCCAACAGTCAACCGGCAAAGTCCCAAACACTGGCATCTGGAGACAGTACCAAATCTCAAAGAGCAGAGGTTTGTCCATGGGACTTTGAGGAGTTGCCAGCCAAATCAATAGACTCTGTCCGTTCCTCTGACCAAGACAGGCCCAAAAGCATGTCTGCAGAGGTCAAAGGCAAAACAGGTACCACTATGACGGAAGGGAAAAGCAAGGGAAGCACCCCTGTAGAGGGCAAAGCAAAAGATATTCTCTCCGAGCCCCCCAGACCTTCAGGTGGCTCACTGCAGCTTCCTTCCAAGGAAGAAATCTGTCCATGGGATTATGAAACAATAAGCCCCACCTCTGACAAGATGCCCAGCCCCTCTCAGGTTTCGAAAACAAAGGAGATTCCTGGAGCAAAGAAGGGTACTACATCTCAGAGAACATTCCAGAAAGAGAAGGAAAAGACGAAGGGTACAGATGACGAAAAAGCCAAAACAAAGTCTAAGGACAAGCCTACTTCGGGTAAAACAACAGAGAGACCTCTTAGTCAAGCTAAACTGGCTGAGGTTTGTCCCTGGGATGTGGATAGTAGTCAGGAAGCGGGTGCGGTCGAAAAGCAAAAAAGTCCAATAGGCAAAAGCAAGCAAGCTGATGTATGTCCATGGGATTTTGAGGATGCAGCACCAACTAAAGAAGTGAACAGAAGTACTGGTTCCTCCATAGCAAAACAGAAAAGTGTGAATTCTAAAGGGGGAGTTGCTGGCGGTGCCAAAATGGCAGATGTCTGCCCATGGGACTTCGATGACCAAACGTCAACAAAAAAGGCATGACACTTGACCTACCTGGACCAGTAAAAAATGTAGTTCTCATTGTATGTGCATTGTGTCATCTAATAAAACCCTGGATTACAAACTCTAGATATAATTTATGGTAACTTGGGGGAATAAAATCAAGTCGCACAAGCTGCCTTTCTTTCCAATAAATTTTTTTCCTTTGTGCTTTTTGAAAAAAAAAGATGAAAATGAAACAAAAAAAAATGCAACAAATCATTAAGCATTCCAGATTCTTACAAAATACTTGTCGAAACTTTAAATACAAACGGTAGTTTGACAATTATGCAACTCTTTATGTGCAATGTAGAAAAACCTGCCTATACTCATCACTTGTATCCCCATTAATTAACCATTTGAATTTTCGTATCGCCATAATAGCTGCATCTGTAGCATGGTCTTCTTGACTGTGTCGGTCATATGAGATTGTACGATTCCAAGTTCCTGCAGAAATAGGGGGGGGGCTTGACATCATCTATGTATTTTAACAGTACTCAGATGGAGCATGCATGAACTGTTTTAGGATAAGCATGATCTGTGGTGTTTTAAGTCAAAGTCGGGTTGACATTAAGGAATTGCCAAAGACGGAGGTAACATTGGGAGATATCATCTGAGTCATACGCAAGAGAACTCAAACGCATAACAGGATCTCCCTACAGTTCTGTTGTGAGCCCAGTTCATGTGGTTGTATGGGGAAATTAGCCTGTAGCACCTTAGTAACTAGCATATTCAATGACTAAAAGAGGTATGTATATGGAAGACATGCTGTAATTGCATTCATGTTGGTCTAATTGTTTGTTTTTATTTATACAGTTCTCACACTGCATATCTGCCGCATCATGTAGACTAACATTTTTAAGAACGCCCTACATCTAAAAACCCTTGCAATGCTTCCGAATTTGCTGGTATGTATTACTGAATGTGCCTAATTGAAGAGTCTAGTATCAGTCCTGGGTTGTATTGGGAAAAGCACAGAATTTGCCCTGTCTTGTTCTCACCCACCTGTAATGACTGTAGGCTGATGTGTAGAAAAAAAAATCAGATTCAAACATATTTTTAAACTGATGACAATGTTTAAATGTATTTATGCTCTGGATATACCAGGATATAACACCCCACTATTCATTTTTAAGAAATATAAAATCTTTTAAATTTATTTATTGTTATAACAGTAAATTAACCAATTACACAGCTAACACAGCTTGTTTAATATTTTGGTCCCACTCAATATTATGTTACTAATAACTGTGTCATTACACATTAACAATACATGCAACAACAGTATAACTACTGGTGATGTATTCACTGTTACAGATGGATTACAGTAATACAGGTTATGTAAATACACATGTATCAACTTCAGTTTTTACTCAAGTAATTACGCAAGTTTGTCTTCATGGTTACAACAGCATATTTTCTCTGTTATGTAATTACACATGTGTAACAGAGTGAACTGCAGTTTTTCCAACAAGACTTTTCTGAGTGTAACAGGAGGTGTGTGATTTCCTTAAATTATGAGAGTACTTACATTACACCTGCACAGGAAATATTACATTTCCTAGCATTTAGCTAGCAGTAGTAGTATGCACTGTAACATGGCAACCTAGCTAAAGTTCTAGCTTTAAACTAGAGTTCCTAAACTCCTTTTTTTCTCTGAGGATGTCTGGATGAAAAAAGTGCAGGAAGGGTTTCAAATATTTTGTTGTCAAATAATCAAGTAATCAGATAAGCTTATATAATTAACAGTAGAATTGCATGGGACTCTTATTATGACAACTTTGGCGTTCCTGCAGAACATGAGTGAGCGGCATCAATCTAGAACTTAATGTTTTCTTGTTTTGGGTATATAAACAGTGATGCCTGTTTGAATAATTAAAAAATTAACCTGAGTCTCCTTTTAAGTAACATTTTCCAATTTAAGCGACCGAGTTCTCATTCCTGCAACAAGATTATCTCATTACATTATCACAAACTATTTTATTCTAATTAAAAAAGCACAAAAAAAAGAAATGTCAGTACTGAGAAAGATATATGTGGAACCGTTGTGGTAATGAGAACGGGGTAAAAATGATGAAAAACTTTAAAATATAATATAACTCTAGAATTTACCACAAAAAAACTCAAATTAATCTACCAAATTATACGAATATTGTTCATCAGCATGATGATTCTAACAATCCAGTTCTCATAGACGTGGTTTAAGGCGGTTTACTGAGCGTGACCCATGCACTTACAGTAAGCTGCACTACCGAAATTCATCTGTAACAGTGAACACCACCACTAGTTACATTGTTGTTACATGTATTAATGTGTAATTACACAGTTATTACAGACACAATGTAAAGCGGGGCTAATATTTCTCATGTTTTGTTTCACTCCAACAGCAGCTGCTGTATCTGAAGCGATGTCTTGAAAAATCTCTCGACAGCACATTATACGCCTGTTCATTTACAGTGACCTTTAATGTAAAATACAAACCATGTGTCACAATTGCTGTTGGAATGTTTAGCTACATGCTATGCTTTGTTTCCAGCACAGGGGCATTTCGTCAATGTTACTGAATCATGTAAATTTCTCCTTGGCATGAACTGTTTTACAGTAGGATGCCTAGTATTAATGACTCCCGAAGTGCTTGTGATGAACTTTGGGGTCATGACGAAACGGTACATTCCCCAGATTAACGCGAATGACATACCTGTGCTCGGTAAATATGGTTACAAATTGTGTCTATTGAATACGAAATTTTAATTTTTGCTGTTGATCCATCATGTATATATCTTTTATGTACCAAAGAGGGGAAAAAAAGAATTTACAGACACTATATTTCTCAAACACTCCATAAAAGAAGTAATACGATGCATCTGACGCCCACCTCTTTACCGTGAGCTGTACTACATCTCCCAGCGACCCACAGCGGTCATGTTTGAAACATGTGAGGCGTAGCGTCGGCCTGTGTGTGTGTACGAGCTAGTGCTTTATTGGCTGCTGAGGTGCAGCCTGAGAAAAAAAAGATGTCTCTTCCCCCCAGATTTATCGTAATGGCTTTTATATCCCTTCTATATTTATGAACCCAGGACGTTATCTGTCATCCATATTGGTTCTGTGTTTCTGGCTCATGTGAAGAGTTTAAAAAGAAAAAAGAAAAAAAACGTCAAGCAGCCTGCCCCCCGTTCTCTCGTCCCCCATATACGAGTAAACCATCCCAGTTTATAAGCAGAACAGAACCTCTGTCAGTGTGGTTATAGCTGTTCTTAGTGTATTGCTAGATGGACGTGTGAAATCTTGCCATCATTGTCACGTAGAGAATGTTTCCGGGAATGGTCGTTGTTTCGTAATTGCATCTTAACTAGTTCCCCGAGTCTGTCCACCAACTTACAGCTCCTGAGTTTGAACCCTGTGTAGTACGGTGTGAGCGCTCCACCCGTGTGACCTGTCCTCACTGGTTTACACTGTCTTAGTGCAATGTTTAGTTTACGATGTTTACTTTTGTCCTCTTTTTTCTTTCCCCACCTGAGGTGAAACCTGTTCTTTTGTTCGGTTACGTTAACTCGGCCCCTCTGGGTGTGACTCACCATCGTCACCTGTTGGGGAAACACTACTACTACCACTTAACGCTGTAATGTCTTAACTATCGCTCTCGTGGCTTCTGCATGATAAGATGAAACTAGTAGGACTGATGTTACACTGCCCTTGATAGATCTTAAAAAAAAAAGAGAAATAAATAACCTTTGGTCTTTTATGGACTGTTACAAGTTGTATAGTGAGTAAAACTGTACTTAACCCACTGTAATTTGTGGTTGTTATAATAAATGCTCTATGACAAGCTAATAGCATACACTTACTGGAGATTTGGTAGATTTATATGGTGTTATATTGTGATAGCATGTACATAAAATACCTCCTCTGCAATAAATATTTCTATACAAATCACGTTGTGTCGGTGTTTTTGTCAGTGGGATGACGAACTGTGTTGCAGTGTCAGTTTTCATCAAATCAGTGGTAGATAATCTGTTCTATTTGATGGTCAAAATAATGGAAAAGACAAAGTTCTGTATAGTATTTAAACAATTTTATAGCCCATATATGGAAACTGAGCTGCAGAAACAGCCCATTTTGAATTCACATGTACACTTTAAAGGGCTCATATCATGGACAGTTTATATTTCCTCACTTTGTTTTAATAAAATCGTTTTATGTAAGATTGATAAGATTTCAAAACATGCCATACCAGGTCCATACAATCCATGTATGGAAACGAACCTGTATAAACAGCCTGTTTGGAATTCACTATTTTTGTGATGTCACAAAAGCTAACGCTTTAAGGGCCTTGTATCATATCGCTGCTGTCTGAACAAAACCTTGTATATCCATTTTTCATTTTTTGACATAATGTGAAAACACCTGTTGTTCTTTACATTGTGTGTAAATTTTGCATTGAATGGACCAAAAGAAACAGCCCAAAATTACTTGGAAAAAAGTCTGGTTCCATTGACTTACATTAGAAGTGAAGTAGATTTTTTCTTCTCCTGTAAAGTTACCATTTTGGAGATACAAGGTTTTGTTCAGACAACAGCGATGTATAATTGATTTTTTATTTTTTGCTTTTTTTTTATAAAAGACTTTGTTTTTTTTTATAAAAGACTTTTGATGTAGGATTGCTAAAATTTAATTCATGTTCCATTCGCACTCAGGCCTGTATTAACAATATACGGAGACTAAGCTGGGAAAACGGCCCATTTTCAATCCATTGTTTTTGTGATGTCACATAAACCAACACTTATATCATGGAATGTTGAAATTTCCTCACTTTTTTCAATAAAAGCGTTTCATGTTGGATTACTGGAATTTAAAATATACCATACCAGGTCCATATGGAAACTAACCTGTAAAAACAGCTGTTTTTTTAATTACTGTTTTTGTGATACCACAAATAGTAACAGTTTAAAAATTCTGTATCATGTAAAATTAAAATTTTTATATCTTTTTTTTTCAATAAGAGTTTGATGTAGGACTACTGTAATTTAATTCACATACGATTCACTCTTAGGCCTGTATAGTCAATATATGAAGACTAAGCTAGAAAAAAACAGCCTGTTTTTAATCCGCTGTTGATGTGATGTCGTGATGTCACATAAACCAACACTTAAAGGGCTCATATTGTGGAAAGTTGAAAATGTTCACTTTTTTCTGTAAAGGTGTAGAATTGCTAAAACTTCAAAATATACCATACCAGGTTCATCCAGTCCATATACAGAAACTGAGCTCCAGAATCAGCCCATTTTGAATTCATTGTTTTTGTGATGTCATGAAAACTTTAAACACTTTAACACTTTAATTGGCCTGTATGTGTATTTTCATTTTT